ACGTTCTCAGAAGTGCCAGGCTGTGTGAGGATGTGAGCTCGCTGTCGGGTGGATTACATGAGGAGGATTGAGAATGGACTTTTACACGCAGCCGTTCTCCCTTGACGAGGTTATGCAAATTAAACAGGCTCTCGTGTTTGTACTGCACTGCTACACCTTCCAGGCACTTACAGGGTTTTATATCCTGAGCTTTAGTCACAAAACATGTAATTTAGAGACTCCAATTGTCTCATCCATCTCATTCGAATAATGTGCAAGATGTGTCTACTGTCACTTTACTAAGACTATATCCACACGAAGACAAAACGCTTATAATTTCAGAAACTTTTTCTGTAAACACGGAGTTAGCTCAGTAAATGTGTGCGTCCATATGAATGTAGTCAATACGCCTGAAAACGCTGTGAAACTATGCCAGACCTGTTGGTGGCGCTGTGACGCAATGACGGGATCAGGCCCAAACTTCCGTGACGGGAACTGGGCATGCGCGGAATTTTGTAAACAGACAACATGGCGAGTGGGCGAGCTGGTACTACATTAGTATGGACGGACGATGAGGTTGAACTGTTGCTTCGGGTCACACTGGATTACAAAACCAACAAGCTACATTGTTGTTGTCATTATTTTCTGAGTGCGGCGCATGCGTGCTTTAACAAGAGGCGGGGCGATGACGCAAGCGTCTCAGATACATTGCGGAGAGGCAGTAACCACGGAGCGGCATATACGGAGTTTTGAAATCTTTCCACTCTGGGACCTACTTTCAAAAATGTTCGTTTACACCCCCCCAAAACGCCGGCCTCGTATGGACGATACACTGGATTGATAAAGTATTTTTGCGTTTAGGCCTGAGCTTGACTTCGTGTGGACAGGGCCTGAGTCACTTTGTCCCATGCCCGAGCTGTTAACATGGACAGATGTATACATACAACTATACATTGCACTAGAATATACAATATTTTAGACTTTTTCTATGCTAAAGTTAGACATTTTCAGCACTTTTGAGTTGCCTTGTGTATGAAATGTGTAATACAAAAAAACTCTTTATTATGCTAAAGTTGGACATTTTAGATTTGCTTCTTTATTAGAGTTATTGGTCATTTATCTTATCCACTGTGTGCTCTTCATTCTTACTGTTCTGTAACTGGTGATGCCCACCAAGCGCTAGACAAATAATACTTGACTTACTTTCTTTCTTATATACTTAAGCAACAGAGGACTCATAAATTTACATAATCTACATACAGGTGTAAATTAGCATTGCTGCTCGCACCTTGTACAATGCATCTCTCCTCTTGGCTAATTTTTATAGTACACTGTCCCTGTTAAAACCATAACAATACCATCAAATTGCATAAAGACATTGACAGTAGAAGACCTGTTAAACAAATGGGTACAGTATATCATTTAAATCTAGTCTAACCATCAGCTTTCATATACAGTATGAACTGAACCAGATTTTTCTTCCTCTACCACATCAGGAGCAGTAGAACAAGCAGATGGAAGCGATGTGAGTCGATCTCCCTGAATGCACGTTTGTATCTGTGGTCTGTCAGAGGTTTTATAGACTGTTACTGTGGGCTGCAGCTTCCCAAACAGAACACATTCATCCAACCGTTTCATTAATATTGTCATAACAGTAATAACATCAGCAGCACATTTTTCTCTCTGAATGATATTCCTGTGCTTAGCAACTGAAAATACTGTATCAACACCAGACAGAAAGAACATTTCAAAGTTATTCTAGACAGTACTGAGCGTCTAACCCTGTCTCAAGGAGCGCCCAGCGACCCTGCATTAAAAATCTTTGACCACGATCTCGCCCTGCAGCTCAGTATTCTCCAAAGCTCGATCATAACCAGAGGTATGGTAAGGTTATTCTTAATTTCAACCTTAAATATCATACGGAACAAGAATATAAATGGTGAGCGTGGTCATGAGCAGGACTTTGATGTAGCCAACACACAGCATTGTATACTGTAAGCTCCTTTGTTGGTATGGATTTGACCCCTTACCTGATGTCCATACCCCCCTCCATGTGGGGTTGACTGTGTCCTGGCTGACCCCCACTGCCCAATCCAGGACCTGAGAGTGACCTCAGCCAGTATATGGAGAGCTGGGATGGACTAGTTTGGGCTCTTGGTCGGCGTATCAACTCTGTACACATGTAGCAGGCCTTATGCTGAGGCCCAGTGCCTTCCGGGGTTCTCTCTCTCTCCAGCCATCTGTCTTTGGGGTATGATATTTTCTGTAATGTCTGCAATGTATTATGTAATTATTTTGTGTCATTACATGTACTCTTTTTTATCTATTGAATTGGTCCTAGTATGTACAGCAACAATTACATTTCTATATAGCATTCTTCTAATCCCCATTCTCCATCTCACCTGTGAACTGGAGTTACATTGTTGCAGCTAAAGCCTGGTTCACACGGAAGGATAATTAAGCCAATTTTGGACCCGATTTACCCCTACGACAATCGTAAGAACGCTCCGAATATCGTAACAAAAAATCTGATGGATTTTCCTGCCGTGTGTGGTGTGTTAAGACTGTGCTCGTCGCTCGGAAGGACATCGGGACTGCTCCGATCTCAATATCGGGGATATCCAACATGTTGGATTGTTTTGGCCCGATTTCTCTTCGTGTGTGGTGTCCCCCGAGGACAGACGAGCGCGTTACCATGACTGCGGCGTGTAGCCAATCAGAAGACGAGACGAGGCGGCGAGGAAACACCGTAAAAAAACCAAAACAGTCAGCGGCATGGCGCACCAGAGAGTTTGGTGGACATCAGAGATGGAGGAACAACTAGTTGACCTCTGGCAACACTGTGAATGTGTGTGTCGTATAAAGAATATCATCACCGAAATGACAAGGAGAGGAATTGGGCAGAAATTGCTGCTGCACAGGTAGTGTTGGCATAAGCCCTATTCGGACGGGATTCGGACGGGAATACTGATGGGTTGTGTTTGTACGTTTACTTTGCACTCTGTCCTAATATAGTACAGACGTGTTGATGCAGCCGTTACTGCAGCCGTGCTTGTTGGTTTGCGCGTATGTAAAGTTTCATGTCTAGCAGTGTTTGTGATGCGTTCACAGGCAGTCCGTACAAACTGTATTATTGAACAGACAGAACTGTAGAGCAGTAAAATCCACATGTGTGTGTTTGTCCTCATGGTGTCTGTGGCTGCTGTGGTCAGACGAGAGTCTCTATAGGCTGTGTGAAGCGGAGAGGCCTGCACACTCTGTTTACTCTGAAGTCACGCTTGATCTCGAGAGATGTTGTGAGATTTCCGGTGACCTGTGAATGCTCGGGGGTGAAATCGGTTCGTGTGTGATGTGTGTGGTTTGCGTGATTTTGCCGTGTGGCTGCACACCACACACTGTACGATCAAAGTGGTTAGACCCGTGATTTTTTATCTCCGTGTGTGAAAAAAATCGGCCAACAATTTTAAAATCGTCTCGTGTGAACCAGGCTTAACATTTACCGTACTTCCGGCCTGTTACTGATCATGATAATCTCTCTTATGTCCCACTCATCTGGTTCTGTTGTGTTTGCTGCATAGACTGTAAACATTCGTCTGCTGACATTCTTTAGTGCCAATATTAGTGCGCATTGGGGTTCACTTTGGACAGACTTTGAATGCACCACCCATTATGTTTACATTCTATTGTACTGTCTGGTCTATGCTGACGTCCCAACAATGCATTAATGAATCTTGGGACTTAGCTCCCTCTCCACAACAGTCTGATACAGTGGCCGCACACGCGGCAGTCACTGCACACGCACTGCAACTAAGAGCCAATCAGGTCTTCCCAGTCTCTCCTCTGCCAACAGATCCAGGTCACAACCAGGTCCTAACTGTTACAAAACTTTTGTTTTTGTGCTTTACAATTGTTATTTTTCTTGCTTTTTTCTACCTGAAATGTTCCTGCAGTGCAGTGTACATGGTTTTGCACTGGTCCAGACCGGAGCGGAGAGGATTCATGGTCCGAAATAAGCGGATCAGGCGAAAATCCACTGGAGGATGGGTAACTTTTTGAAAAATGGGCAGAGAAAATGTTCCGAACCAAACGGCTCCATCTCTGCTGCTGTCACCCGTCCTGCTCCACCCAGAGGCTAGACCATCTCTGCTGCTGTGACCTGAAGAGCTGTTTCTTCATAGTTATTACTATTGTTTGCTCTTTAGAATTATCAAATCATTTGTTTTGTTTGTGTGGATGGATGTGTTTTTGCTGCTACTGGAGAACTGAATTTCTACTGCAGGATCAATACAGTATCTATAAATATCAAATCATAAATACTGTAGAGTGAAAAGTGACTAACTTTTCTTGTGCCTAAACATGTTGTGACCATTACCAACCAAAACTGACACTGATGGTGTCTCGTTGGAAAGCATGTTTTCTTTTCCATGCTAGTATGAAAAAGCCTTGTGAGCCATGATTTGACACTTTGGGCCGAGACCTTATCGGCTCAATGAGGACAGTTCTCTCTTTTTCACTTTTCTGCCATGACTCGGGACAGAGGTAACATATGCATGTATGCGGAAACTTCACTCTCCAAAAATATGTTTTGAGAGTGATGGATTTTATGGCAGGATTAAATCTTGTGTGGATTGAAAGATTAGCTCCCCAGCTTTAAAGTCTCATGAATATCTTTTTTATTGCTGATCAAACAAACCATATTTCACTCAAAGATACCAGACTTGCTTTTATTGTATGATTAATATGCATACACAAGGGATGTATAAGACAGGCCAAGCGACACCTGCCTTGTACTGTATGTATTGACACATATTGAGTGAGGAGTAGATCCATGGGCCATTATCTCGATGAGCTTCAAAACCCAGAGGTCTGCTCTGCACTTGTTCCTTGCAGCGTCACACTCAGCCTCCACTTCAGGAGCGTGAGGCCAGCGTGAAGTGTCAGAGCTCGTCAGATTTATAATTCATACAGAGAGAAGAGAAGAGAGGAGCCTAGTGCTGCAGAGCTCATGCAGAGGACCACCACTACACCACCCCCACTACCACCACCACCACTACACCACCCCCACTACCACCACCACCACTACACCACCCCCACCAATACACCACCCCCACTACCACCACCACCACTACACCACCCCCACTACCACCACCACCAATACACCACCCCCACTACCACCACCCCCACTACCACCACCCCCACTACCACAACCACCACTACACCACCCTCACTACCACCACCACCACTACCACCACCAATACACCACCCCCACTACCACAACCACCACTACACCACCCTCACTACCACCACCACCACTACACCACCCCCACAACCACCACCACCAATACACCACCCCCACTACCACCTCCATCAATACACCACCCCCACTACCACAACCACCACCACTACACCACCCCCACTACCACAACCACGACCACTACACCACCCCCACTACCACCACCACCAATACACCACCCCCACTACCACCACCACCACTACACCACCCCCACTACCACCACCACCACTACACCACTACACCACCCCCACTACCACCACCACCACCACCACTACACCACCCCCACTACCACCACCACCACCAATACACCACCCCCACTACCACCACCACCAATACACCACCCTCACTACCACAACCACCAATACACCACCCCCACAACCACCACCACCAATACACCACCCCCACTACCACCACTACACCACCCTCACTACCACCACCACCAATACACCACCCCCACTACCACCACCACCACTACACCACCCCCACCAAATACACCACCCCCACTACCACCACCACCACTACACCACCCCCACCAATACACCACCCCCACTACCACCACCACCACTACACCACCCCCACTACCACCACCACCAATACACCACCCCCACTACCACCACCCCCACTACCACAACCACCACTACACCACCCTCACTACCACCACCACCACTACACCACCCCCACAACCACCACCACCAATACACCACCCCCACTACCACCTCCATCAATACACCACCCCCACTACCACAACCACCACCACTACACCACCCCCACTACCACAACCACCACCACTACACCACCCCCACTACCACCACCACCAATACACCACCCCCACTACCACCACCACCACTACACCACTACACCACCCCCACTACCACCACCACCACCACTACACCACCCCCACTACCACCACCACCACCAATACACCACCCCCACTACCACCACCACCAATACACCACCACCACACCACTACACCGCCACTGTCCCACTAGTTATACTAGTAGTGGTGTAGTACCCTCCATCACTCTCCTAGTAGACTACACTAGGGGGTCGGTGGGTGGGGGTCCTGTCAGAGTTATGCACTGACACTGCTCATGAATCACTCTGGTTTGCTTGTCTGAACCAGTAACGGAGTAAGCATGTGGGTGAAGTGTCCTGCCCAATGGCACAAGGACAGCCAGCATTCATTAGAGTAAGGTGAGGATACCATCCACATAATGGTGTTTTAATGACTCCTGCGAGGGAGGCAGATGCTTCTCTTAATAAGACACGTTAGACAGCGTGCAGCACACTGCGATCACAATCATTGAGAGTGGATACAAACTTGTGGAAACAGTTGACCTACATTAGCATAATGTTTATCATAATACTACGTGAGAACATGCAAAACATAAGTCAGGTTATGGGATACTGTCATGTATAGACTCCAAATGACTTTGGGATTCATCAGCTTGGGATACTATGTAATTTAATCCCTCTACTACTAGAGTTATTTTGCTCTTCACTATCACCTATAAAACTATCGAGAGCTAAAAAAGATACAATATGGTTTACAACAATGATGAATGGTGATCTGAAAGTCTGACAAGTCTTGAAACTCAAACAACAAATATGTGAGGAGTAAGAAGAGAAAGTGAGGAACACGCTTCAGCTAATTTCTTCAGCAATCAGCTTGTGCTGTAACCCTCCTCCTCCAGGCAAAATCCTCTTTCTTGATTACAAGCGCATTAAACGTAATACAAAGCCTTGTACATTCAACCCAATAGGTTAATGCACCATTCAAGCAGAAGCAGCCCAGGGTGCTGAAGAAAACACAGACAACATATGAAACATGGAATAAATAAAATATAAAATGTGCCTTAAACACAATTATTAGTGAATTACTGTGACTTTTGAAGATCTTTTTTTTTAGCTGTCTTGCATTTGTCCATGAGCCTGCTCTCCCCACACATCCATCAGTGAGGTCCTGAGTGAGTGCAGCTCTTTCATCACAAACAGCAGCAGATTGGAGAAGCATTAGCCTTTCGACATGTTTATGTGGTCAGCGGTCGCAGGCTCGCCCTGGACATGCTTAAGGCGACTTACGGCCGGAGCGTGGCCTTTTATTGACCGTCTTGTCTCTCACTGTTTTTAATGGTGCAGGATGACGTCTCGTCTCCTTCAAACCCAAACCCATTGGCCACATTCAGTTTATGCAGGTCATAAAGTGCAGCAGGAGGAGTAGAAACATAGCCGATATTAATGTTCGTTCAAGGAAAGTTTACGAGTGGGTTATAAAAATTGATTTTATTCATTAAGGCTGCGGATTTTATTCACTTCACTAGGATGTTTTTACCCATTTCAGTTTGTTACCTCTGCAAGCATCCAAACCGTCGCTTAGTAAATGTGTCTGGAAAAAACTACAGAAAAGGGATTCTCAGTGAATTTGAAATTTAAAAACTATTTTCTATACAGTTGTCCACTGGTTTCTCTTTTTAAATCGCCATACATCTACAGTGTATGTTGTAACTTCAAGTGTTCCAAATGTATGATGATGATCCATTAGAGGTCATAGATTATCACTTTATGTAAGGATTAAAGCCTGCTCCTCATGCTTTACCAACGAGTACTCACTGAAAGTACTTTTTAATCTTAGTGTTTTGATACAGAATGTGATTTCTTACGGTACGGCAACAAATAATTTGGTGGTTATAATAATAATAATAATAATTTGAATAATAATAGTAACAAGAAATATAAATGTTATTTCTCAGGCTCCTTTGTTGACAACTGGAACCTTACATACAAGTAAAAATACATTTTAAAGACATTTAAAAAAATCAAGTTGAAATACAGTTGAAATGGAAAGTTAAAAGCAGGTTATGATGTTAATAGGCTTGTCTAAACAGATGAGTTTTGAGGTAGATTTGAAGAGTGTGAGTAAGTCAGTGTTATGGAGGTCAGGGGGGAGAGGGACCAGGAGCTGCGGAGAGCGAGGTTGTAGATGGCTTTGAATTTAAGGAGTAGGATATTGTACTGGATGTGGTGAGTGCTGGGGAGCCAGTGTATCTATTGTAGGCCAGGGGGGAACATGGATGAATGGAGTATGTGGTTTGATATTGTGTTTTGAACCAGATTGAGTTTATGGAGGGTTTTTTGAGGGAGATCGAACAGGAGGGAGTTACAATAGTCGAGGCGGGAGGTGACGAGGCTGTGTACGAGTGGCAGTGGTGTGAGGGGAGAGAGAGGGGCGGATGTTTCTTAGGTGGAAGTAGGCGATGCGGGTGATGCTGTTGATGTGTGTGGTGCAGGAGAGGGTGCTGTCGAGGATGATTGACAATTTTGAAAACAAAATCCTGGAAATCAGGAAACTGGTTTTTTGTCTAATGATGCAGAAAATAAGTTGTTGACCAATAACAAAAGTGCAACCTAAAAAACAATAATAATTTATAGGTGCTTCTGCTACTACCACACCCTGCCAACGGATAAAGCGGAAGAACATGGATGAATGGAGGTGCTCCCGATAAAAATGAGTTGGACAAAACAGTGATATGTTATTAGGCAAGACACATTTCCCAGCATGAGTCTGGTGTGTGTGTGTGTGTGTGTGAGAGAGAGAGTAATTGGTCGTGGCGGGAAGGGCAGACATTGTTGCCTTGATTCTGTCAGTCTGTCCCAGGGCAGCTACATGCCACAGTAGTTGTTTACCATCTGAATAAATAATGCAATCAGGTGCAGTGTTTTCTATACCAGGGGAACAATACAGTCTGAGATACACAAGTGTGATCTGTTCCCATTGCTCATGTTATATACGTGTGCGTGTGTGAGACATTGTCCATTTGAGTGTGCTTCCATGGGCAGAATAAAACCTGACAGCTCCAAACAAAAGAGCCCGTAGTGGATGAAAAAGGTCAGACTTATCAAGTTGTGCTCAGAGGAGATGAGGCTATGGAAATAATGAGCACTGCACACTGCCACTGCTCTCAGACACAGGGATTCTTCGGCTTGTTCAAAAGACAAGATCTTCTATCAAATAATTAGTTTCTATCAAATAACTACCCCATCTCAAACACGCCTGTAAAACTATTTATTGTGTAAAAATGGTTATTATTGCTGTGAATGCTGCTAAAACATCCTTTATTCATCCCACTGTGGAGAAACTGCATTGTTGCATCAGCAGTTACAGAACCGTAGGAATGAGGAGCACACAACACAAGATGAGTGAACAATAACTCTAAACTAAAATGTATCTTGTGTGAGATTAATAAAGTACATCTTATCTTGTCTTACTAATATACTAAAATTTCCTACTAGAGTATAATGCAGAAGCAAGTATAAAATCTCCTACTTTAGCATAACAAAGAAGCAAGTATAAATGACTCTATATGCTGTCATGTGTCATGTCATATGTAATTTTCATCCCCTTTATTATTCCATTACTGAGTCAGGGGGGTGGCAATCAGAGCTTCCACCTAAATCACAGTGCACCGGCAGGTGGTGGGTCCACAGGTAGAAGGCAGCTGCTTCCACTACAATACGGCCTTGGTTTTTCTGCCGGGGCTTCAGGCAATGTGAGGTTAAGTGTCTTGCCCAGGGACACAACGACAGCAGACTACAGAGGGAGCAGATGACATGTGCCGTGGGGGGATCAAACCCACAACCATTAGGTTCAAAGACCAATGCTCTACCAACTGAGCCACTGTCACCTCCCACTGTATATTCTGGTACAAGGAAAATATACAGTAGCGGTATGTAAACATCTGTACATGTTAGCAGTCCGAGGGTCTAGAAACAAAGTGGCCGAGTAAAGTGAGAGTGAACACATGTGGTTCTTGCACTTTCTGACATCAATCAAATATATTTGAAACGAATGAATGAATGACCTCTGTTTAAAATTGGTCTCAGCAGTATAATTCTGCTTTCCCCATATCCAAGTCTTCGATGGCTCTATACACGTTTGCGTATTAAGGCCCACAGTGCACAGAAGCAGTTTGGCAGCAGAGGTGTCACTCATTTTAAATTACACCAAAACAAGATGAAAACATGGAGGAGGCTGGAGCACAACAGGACCAGAGCTCCAGGGCAGACCCACAAATGAAGTGCCAGCTGCAGGACTCGTGCTTCTCATGTTTCATAAGACTAACAGTGTTTTTTTTTTTACATATGAAATGCCAATGAAAATGCATGCAACATGAGTGTACTTTTCAAAACTATCCACTTGTGAGGAGGTAATTAGGGTTGTAACGAGTAGTTGAATAGGCACTAATCAATGGGAGTTTTTGTCAATAATCTTCAACCATTTATAATCAAATAATTTTAGTAGCTGAGGTGTAGAGGTGCGAAGGTGGATGAATGAGTGTGTGACCCCTGTCCTAGGTGGAAAAGGTTTAAGGCTATAGATACACAGATTTTAGTGGTTGAATAATGGTGTTACATCCGGACCAAATAAAAGACTGCTGTAAATATGTGTTTATGCTAACTTGCTTATGTGCACATCAGACTACTCCACTCAGTCAATAACACTAGAACTCCCGGAGCAGTCAATTTGATAGCTATTACTTGCTATGTCATTTATATTTCTGAATGGTGGAGTTCTACTTTTAACTCCCAGAGTAAGTTGTAGTTCCCATAGCAACAGATTATTTACCTGCAGATGTTAGCATTTAGCCTTTCAATTAACTGTATTTGCTGTGTTTCAGTTATCATTTAAATAACTGAAATACAGCAATAACTGAACCGATAAATAAAGGGAGTAAAGGTAAAAACGTCATGAACTATTTACTTACTGAATCTGGTGGGAAACCAAACATGTTTAGGGGACATTTTTCAGAAGTCCATTGATTCGAATGGGAGCAGTCAAAATGACGGTTCTGTAAGTCCTAGTGTTAAGGACAGGTCCATGGTCCTGCTCTTCCCCAGAGAGCCGGCGGATGATGACTGAATCGTCAGCAAACTTCAAGATGTGTCTGTACGGACTTCAAAACTGATCTGTGTCCAAAGAGTACAGGAGAGGAGAACAGATGTATTAAAACAACATCGGACACGGTGAGATCAGCTCATACACATGTGACCCATAGGTGTTAGCAGGTCCAACTACCAACCAACCAAATTAAAAGTAAGATTATAATCTGAGATCAGTTGCTGTGAATGCAAAAATGGCTGGATGGTGTTAAAGGTAGAAGTAAAATCCACAAACTACTGTATGGCCTCGAGTCTTAGCTTGTTCCAAGCAACAAGATAAAAAATGCATTAAAATGACCATGACAACATCAGCACCCCTCCTTGACCTGTTTGCGAATTGTAGAGGGTCTAACTTATCTCCAACTTGCAGAGGAATGGCATTCTCAATTCACTTTTACAATATTTTTTCATGACCAATGAGGTCACGGCAAAGGCCAGAAATTGTTCAAAGATTCAAGGATACTATTTTTGGCAACTGGCACAATTATGGAGCCTTCTATTCAGTCTCTGTACCTTAATTTATTCTCACTAATCTCAGACCTGATCTTCTTTCTTACTGCTCTCTCTGCAATCACCTTCATTAAAAACATTTACAATGTTACTTCTCTATGCTCCATGAAAACCACTGCTACAGTGTGAGGGCATTTTTTCTTCCTTCTCTAGAACAACTAAGCCTTCACACACAGAAATGTCACTGCTAACAACATCCGTGAGTTCATCCATGTCCAGACGAGATTCCTGAAACACAGTCCAGCCTCAAAGCATCATTGAAGTGTCAAGGAGCTGTCACCGCGTTTTTTAATAGTTTTTCTCTCCGTAGTACTGAAGGCAAAAGATGGACATGCTCTGGTCTGACGCACCCAGAGCAAGTCCTGCCTTAGACCAAAACACTCCCATTAAACACTCCTGTTTTCCTGCGTGTCGGACATGGTATGTACTGATGAAAGCTGTTCAGAGATCTCTTCAAGATTAAAATCTCTAAAGAGAAAATTCAGAGTAGATTTTAAGACAACATCACCAGCTGTCTTTGCGTCAGCTTTGGATGAACGTACACCGCAGGTAAAAGACATTTTCGAGAAATGGGGGGATATAGGGAGACAATTATTTTTGTTCTATTGTCTGACTATGACAAAGTCCGACATTGTCCCATAGGAATAATACAAATGTTTATGATTTACAAGAGCTGTGTGTATAAAATACTTAAAGTGTGAGAGTGGTTAGAGCTTGTATTTCACAGCAAGAAGGTCCTGGGTTTGATTCAACCTCCAGACCTTTCTGTGTGGAGTTTGCATGTTCTCCCCGTGTCTGCGTAGAATTCCTCTGGGTGCAATAACATGTACAATAGGTATGAATGTAAGGAATGAGTGAATAGATGGTGTTTGGTCAGAGGCTTTGATGCACCAGTGTGTTAGGCGCTTCCGTTG